TTCCACAATGCAGATTGCTTCCCCAAGCATGGCACATAGGGACTTCCAGGAGTGGGAGGGGTGGGGTCTTAGGAAATTTTGGCCTACAGAGGGTTTTTCCAGCTATACCAGGGAATTCCAAAAGTTACCTTCCCAGAGCTTAAGAAGGCAGCTCACCTGTCCACTAAAGACTACTTTAGGTCTTTGGATCTTCGCAAGTTAGGAGTGGGTATGGTGGGCTGTAATGTCAGATTTACAATTTTTGAGTTTCTATGTAATTGTTGTACTGGTCAGAATGGGTTAATTACTATATTATGTAATGCATTTTGCCCAAACATCCATATATACTGGGAGTTAACATATTGCTGAAATTGGGAGCAAGATTTGAATGAAACCTTGGTGGGTGGCGTGTGGGAAGATATTTGGGAAGCAACCAGAGGTATCTTTATTAGTGTTCATTTGCAGGGTGTTTAAAATAATGATGAGATGTTACACAACCCCCATAAGAGTCTTTCATATGGGTAGATCTGAATTATGTGTAATTTTCATCACCTGTGGTTGGAATGTCCTGTGATGATTCCTTTTATGGCAAAGCATCCAACATTTTTTTGCCCCAAGTATTTCATAGACCCTTAGACCTTGGTTCGTTTTTGCTGTCTAGACCAGTTGATAACCTTCTTTAATAATAAGAGAAGCATGGAAGCTTGAAAGGCATTGACATCTAAATGGTAACAATCCACAGTACTTACCATTCCAGATGTTAAAGCCAAAATAGTGGATAACCATCTTATGAATATGTTCACAGTGCTTCTCTATTCTATGCTCCCATCTTTGGTAACATCTTGGTTCACTTGAGAAGCCTATGAGGCATACATTTATTGTGCTCTCTGAGGTTTTATTTTTATTATTTAGTTACTTTTTAATATATATATTAACACTTTAAAATGGCTTGCAAGTGTTAGTACTGTTCTATCATTATAGTTGGTTCTTGTGGATAAAAAAAGAAAACTCCGGGGCAGGGCCTGACCAACATGGCCGCAGGACGCACATCGCCTGAGGTCCTAGCCCGACATGGGAGTTTCTTGAGCGGACTAACTCCCAACACCCCAATCTCCCTAATCTGGGGATTGTTTATCCCCCAAACAACCCTGGGAGTTTACTGTCGGCTTCCCCTTGCATTGAGCGCTCAATGCTTGCCTGCCCGGTGGATCCCGTTGAGGCCTACCAATTGGTCGGACATGGGAGGCGGCTGCCCTCCTGCTCTGCAACATTGAGCCCTCAGCCCTAAAATACCTCATCTTCTTGACCAAACTCCCCCCCCTTAGGACCGGCGGGGGTCATCCTGGTCCCGCTGACCTGCACAAGCACCTGTGCAGATCCAACTTGTACCAGAGTCAGCTGTGCCTGCAATTCCCTCTCCCAAGATGGCGGAGGAGCAATCACCTCATAGGCTCCAGCAAACACAGCCTGCACTAAAGCGGCGTTACTCTGTGGAGCAGTTGCTAGAGCGGCTGGAGGACAACCCTTGCGACCCGCTTGCCTATACCACTTCCTCTGCCAACAAAGGAGGCCCAGAAGAGCAGCAGTCGGGGGTGAGTGGCATACCTCCGGGCAAAACCTCTCACACACACCAACATGTCTCACAAGAACTACCCACTCACCTACCTAAGAGACTTCCGCCACTACCCTGCCTAAGAAAGACAGCTCCAGGCCCACGGTGCACCCGAAAATGTCGGAGACATCCGCAACAACTCTTAATCTCTCGTGCCGACTGCAACTTACCATCGGGCGTGCATAAGCAGAAGCCATATGCCGATGCAAAGGACACACGCCTAACAGACATGGGGGGGGAGAGACCTTTTCTCTCTTTTTTTTCTCTTCCTTCCCTCTCCCCTTCAGCCCACCAGTCCCTGGGGACGGGGCACATGGGGGGAGGGTCAAATTACTCCAAAAACCCGCCCATGCAGACCACGACCGGGGCAGCGCAGGACACAGGAATCGGGTCATAGGCTACGCGAATATGAACAAAAAGAAACACAACGGGCATGACCTCCGAACACACCACCACCGAAAGCACACCAACAAAGACCCCAAACAGCACAAAACCATGTTGCCTGCTGCCAGACCCCAGACACCCCCCTTCCCTGTCCCCACCCAGAGCCGACCAGGCCACCCCCTCTTTTCCCCCCCTCCCCATCCAAATGTCCACCACCCTTCCAAACCAAGCAGAGTTTCCACACGACACCATGCCCAATACCCAACACTCGAATCAGCAAGCACCAAGACCAGCTGGGACACCTCACGAAGCCAATCACGGCTCGACACACTAACGGGGGAGGGAAAGCATCATCACTGGGTGCCACAAGGAAACCGCACCCTTCTACCACAGCTAAGCTAGTCCCCAAGCCCAAACGAACAAGCAGAAGAAAACCCCCACAACATGGGCAGAGGGACATACTACTGTAGTAGAGTAACCCACCAGGTACCCAGGCAACACTCCTTATAAAATGTTGCTGACACCTCTCCAAGGCGGTACTGAGGGCGGGAATGTCAGTTGATAATGTGAATGCTATGTATATGAAGCAAATCCTCCCCTCACCCCCGATTCTTGTTTCTGTATCCCCCCAACCCTACAACAAAAATTTGAAATAAAGAATTTATAAAAAAAAATAAAATGAATTTACAATATATAGCTAGTCAAGGCAAGTTTTATTTTCAATTGGCATAGAACCTAGGAAAGCATAATAAAAAATGTATTTATGAACTACATAACACAGATGATTAAAAATAAGTTTCATAATAAAATTTTTTAAAGTTTAATATACACTATATAGATGCTTAATAATTCATAATGATGTTAACCTACACATTTGAATGATTTGTGTTGCCTATTGAACTAAGTGTCAAGGGTATACCTAGAGCATTTGATACCCAGGGTGGACCCTGTGTTTGGCATCCTCCTCCAAAATGTAAAAAAACACCCACAATTATTTTTAAATGTTTTTTTTTAAATGTATTGCACAAATTCGCAAACTTTGTAATATCCCTTTCTAACCCCTTCTACAAAACCCATGCACCCCCCTTCCACAAATCCCCTGCTCAGCCTCCCTTATACAAAACCCATGCCCCAATAAAAAAAAAACCTGCCCTTCTACAAAATCCCTGCACACACACAGTTACAGGCATACAGTCACACGCACACAGTCACACACACACAGTTACAGGCAGCATCACACAATCACACGCAGGCAGTCACACACACATAGTCACACATACAGTCACAGGCAGTCACACACACAGTTACAGGCAGACAGTCACCAGAGAGTTACAGGCAGTCACACATAGTCACAGGCAGATAGTCACACACACAAATATAAGCCTGAAGTACCCCAACGGCAATCCTCTGGCATCATAACAAGCTTTACAATTGGGGTAGTAGAATGAACATGCTTAATTTTACATTATAGTGAACATGCATAAAGATAAGAAACATGCTGAACTTTTGCGTGAATTTATGTAGACAGGAATCAATCAAGATTTTGTTATTAAACATGGTCTTAAGTGTGAAGACTATGCTAGGCTTTTGTTTTGCCAAAAATATAACACGCTAGCAGGCTATAATAGAGCTGGCTAATAGTGTGTGTAACTCCAGGAACTCCTCACTTTATCGTAGAGTGTGCTTAGATACAGGCAGGCAACTAAAAGATTAACTAAAACATAGAGTTAACAAAAGCTCAAAATGAAAACACAAAATTAACGTCATCGTCAGCCTGGGTGCAGACGGGCAGTATATAGCATCATGTCCTGGGGAGACACAGGTGATGTGCTCAGGACCGTAGGGCAATGTCAGCAAATGCCTCAGCTCAGTATAGCGAGAAAGTCTCTGGAGGCTGCTGGTGTCATGCCGGTGCACCCCAGAGGCAATTCTGTGTAGGGGTTACACTATCCCGCCTTGCTGAGGGCCTGCATCTTTGTACCCCGGACCTAAGATCTCTCATCTGAGTCCAAGTCCTTCCTCTCTAGAAGGTGACAGAAGCTCTGGGTAGCTCTGCGTAGTTGGTCATTATTTGTGGGGTCTGCGGTTCTGCCTCTTTGGGGGATGCTTTGGGAGGGAATCCCTTTTGGCTCTCTGCTAGGTGTGTGGGGCTTGGTGCTTGGTTGGAGGTTGTGCCCAACGGGTCCTCATGCACCCCATCTCCTGATCTCCTCTGTTTGCTCCTCTGTTCCCCAGCTGCTGCAGCTGCACATACCTCCAACCGCTTCCAGAAACGGACGTATATCTCTGCGAGGTGCTGCGTGTAGCTTGAAGGGGGCATGCCCGCCATTTTGAGTAGAAGTGGTGGGTCTCAGTTTCATGCAATATTAGTTGCCTGCAATCAGCAAGGTAAGTGGGACTGCTTTGTGTGGACGGGATGACCCCCGCCGGTCCAGGTGAGGGGGGGGAGAGGTGGTTTCACTGGGGTCCTAGCTTCTGCTTAAGACTCATTGACTCAGTCTTGTGTAGGCCACAAGCCTCGGTGTGTCAGTCCGACTTCACAGGAGCTCGAGAAAGGCACCGTCTGCTGCAGCAACCTCTCCCAGGTGGCAATATTGTAGTTTACGGTCTGTGAGTGCCGATTACCGGGTATAGCACCCTGGTTTTTGTCCCCAGACGTGGGAACTCGTGCTGAACATGTCTGGGCTGCTTGGCTCCGCCCCCATATATGTGGGCTTTTAAGGGTCAAAGCAGATATTAATAATGACATTTATTTGTTTTTATTTTGTAACATTCTGTGTTAACTGATTTTTCAATGAGATGCATGCATACTAAAAGTACAAAACAACTTACAAAAATATGAAATGGTAGAATTTGTGATTTCTATCACATAAAGGAAAGTGACTTGCTATTATAAATAAGATATAAATATAAGTCTTCACACAATTACAAGTTGCTGTGAATGTAGAAATTGATAGTGGGTCACATAGTAGCTACAAGAAACCAATTCAAGGTGGTGTGTACATTTACTTCAATACATGATGCCTTATTGTGCATAATCGAAGAGGTAAAAATCAAGACTGTAAATCTCTAACAAGCTTTGAAGCAAGTCAAGCGGAAGCTGGTTGTAATACCCTGCACTAGTTTTTGCATCTGTTCTGGATTCATTGAATTGCTTTACTTCTGGATATTTTAGACCAGGAGGTGCACCTATTACCTTCAATACATAGTCAGAATCTGGCTTCAAAGTTTCAAATTTTCCCAAAATGTCATAGTTGATATTGCATGGATCACAGAGATGATAAAATGGCCTCCAATGCACATCGTTCGTCTTTGGTTTATTTTCAAGTATATAGTGAACAAATTCATCAAAACTCACATTTTCAAGACAAGTCTTGTTCTTTCTGAACTTTGCTTTAATGATTTTTGGTAGCTGTATACCGTGATATCCAGCAGCATGAAAGAATTTATCCCTATAAGCTGAAACTATCCTCTGTAAAGGGTCTCGGGTAAAAATTACTTTGGTGTAGTTGGCAAGCCTCAAACATTGCTTTTCCTTTGGGTAGTCACTTAGTCTCTTCAACCAACGGGAACCATGGATGTGATCATGTTCAAGATAATCTGCTTTCACGTTTACATTTGTTTTTAAAACAAATATTATCCTTTTCCAGTTAGAACAACCTGCCTTCAGCACTTCGCAATAGAGGAACATGTGCTTCTCCTCCACAAACAGTTGCTTGAGAACCAAGGATTTAATTTCTTTTTGTGGATTAAAAAAACTGACCTCAAAATAGCTTTGCGATTCTTTTGTGTGGTGATAATTATTTCATTTGAACTTGGACCTGCATATGGGAGAAGAGACCACATAGAGTGTTTTGATCAGGAAGGTATCTCAGAAGAGAAGGTATCTCATAAATTGTCTGCAACTTTAACCCCTTAAGGACCAAACTTCTGGAATAAAATGGAATCATGACATGTCACACATGTCATGTGTCCTTACCGGGTTAAAAGAAGCAAAATTAAATTTTGGAATGCTCAAAGAAGAAAAACAGCATGGGTTATATTGCATTTGATTACTTGGATGGGATCATCAATAGCGTAGTTAGTGCATGCCTTGAGCTTGTTATCCGAGATAAATCAGTTGGTACATACGTTTCTCTATCTGTTATGGCTGTATTTAGAATCTAAGTGCAGTACAAATAAGTTACATTAAAGTTACTTATCTTTAAAGCTTCCTGCATATGCTTAGTGTGCCTTCAGGCCCCACCCCATTCAGGAATGTTTCATTCTAATCTACAACATCACTTTTTCCCCCCATGGTTACCTGTCCAGCCCAAGTTTATGGGATAATTGTTTTATTCCCCAAGAGCTGTTCCTCTCATCAACTCTCATGGAACTGCTTATTACACTGAGAGCTGCTTCCTGAGAGATAACTCCATGTTCTGTGTGTTGTGTATACCTCTCATACACAATCTGAACAAAATTGATACCAGGCAGATAGGACTGAGCATTCTGTCTGTTTGATGAAGGTCATGTCTTAGAACTACAGCATTTCTTTCCAACTTACTGCTAGTTTAAGCCATTCTCAAAGCTAAGAGTTGGCTTTATGTATTTTGTGTACCACAAACTCACATACAGCAACTACGCAGCAAGCTACGCAGTGGGGTAATGGTGCGAATAGTCAGTCCTTTAAGATACCTTTTAGCAATAAAGGATATTGCTGAGCAAAATATGTATTTTTCCAGCAAATTGTGTAAAAAAATTCCTCCTCACTCAAATAAATAAATGTATGAGGAAATGTTTCAAACACTATTTATTTGCAAATATAAAATAAAATCCAGGCAAAAATATTTTACTTATCTTTTTTGTTTAGCCTGTTTTTAAAATATTTCTTCTTTCTGATTTGCCTAGATTTTATTGTATATTTGGAACTGATCAAATTATTGGAATGATTTAATTGATTGTTTTAAATGTAAGGCAATTAAAATGGTTTAATATTTCTTGAGACTTACTTGTATCTCTGAATAATGTTTGCCAGTGAAAACTTACAACGAGCATTAAAAGTAAACATGACAAAACTGCAAGAAAGCTAAACAGTTTTTTTGGACTTCTGTACATGATGTCAGGTGTTCTGTGAAATAATAAATGAATACCTTTATATCAAAGGTTAGCAAAAACAGAACATTAACAGTGCTTATACATATAACAGACATGCATTGGTAAAAACCTGCAGATTAAAAACCAAACAACAATAAAAAAATTAAAAAATAAAAAAACAACAGAAAACAAGTCTCGCATGCACTAGAGCAGGTCTATGTTTAGGGGAATTCCCCCGAACAGAGACAAGCACACTTACACAAGGAATCCCTCGAATCTATGTCTGGGGAAAATTCACCGAACATAGATGATCTCTCTAATGTAGGGAATCCATCATATCCATGCGCTAGAGAGCTGGTCGTACGTTCTACAGTTAACGGTCAAGCCGTTGTTATAAAGGTAAGTTGTAAAGTGAGGACTACCTGTGTTTACCATTCTTTATTTTCCCTGTTCCATAAAGTGTCCCTTCTGCTTGTTCCTTGCTCTCCCCGTCTCATCTGTGTCTCCCATTCTCTGATTGCATCACACATTCATGTCCCCTGAACTCTCTCTCTACCTGCTTCAATGGGCTCTTCATCCTTTCCTATCTATTTGTGTGGCCTCTTACTTGATTGCTCCTTTGGGTCTTATTTGTGTTCCTTGCTCCACTTTCCCAAATACAGTGGTACCTCGGTTTACGAATTTAGTGCGTTCTGCGGGACATTTCGTATTGCGAAAAGATTTGTAAACCGGAATGTGAAGTCAAAATGAGCTGGCATGGAAACCAACCCACAATGCAGAACACACAGTAAAAGGCATGCAAACGATGAAGCTCAGCTCCCTACCTTTCCACCGCTTGAGAAATGCAACAAAAAGTCCCAAAACCGCTGCAAAAAATTTCCAGAATGGCTCCATTGAAACACATTTAGGACATTTAGATAGTATGTGCACATTTTTAAGAAGTTAGTAAACATGAGTTAACTATTGCTAGAATATGTATGAGCTAGGGAGACATTACATGTTAAGCTTTGGTATGGCTTAATAACACTTTATTATTATTTATTCAAGAGGCTAATAGAGAGTAAACAGAGGCATATGAAATCAGACTTATATGTAAAGGTCTCTGACAGCTGAACTTGCACCTGGACCCGGTTGGGAGAGTATGCGGGTCATAGGAGAGTCTGTAGTGAATCGCTGTTCACCCTATTCCTGCTGCTAGGAGGTGGTTGAGACCCTTCTGCTGGTACCGGGGAGGTGCTGCCGCTTGGGCGGGAGTGGAGGTATCCCTCCAGCCCCAGGCTGGTGAGTAGGC